AAAAAAAAAATTTAATTTATACCCAATCAGAAAATGACACGTTATTAACAAAAGAAAAGAAAAAAAGGGCACATTGGTGTTCTTGGTGTTCTTCACTATCTTTATGTCTATTATTGTTCCAACCACGATTTTAATCCAAAATTTTAAGAGAAACTTCTCCAAATTTGTTATAACTTCAACTAAATAATCTTTACAAAGACTTGAAGACAACCCCAATATTAATTTCTCAATTTTTCATCAAATCAAGTAACCCATTTTAAACTTTCAAGCTTTCTTAAAGACCCCATTAATGGTGTTTTGACTTCAAATGAAGAATATGGTCCCACTTCGGTTTCAATCAACTGAGATGGTTGTTGGTTCAAACTTTCGAGCTAAATTAATGGTGGAGGCACAACAATGGTGAAAGTGGGGGATACAATGGTGGAGAGAAAAGAAGAAGAAGAAAGAAAAAGAAAAAAATGAAGATGAAATCTGTTTTTTGTGCTCTTCACGCGCCTATTTTGGGTGAAGCTCACTTTATGTGCCAACTCAGCAAAAAGTGTCTAATTGGAACAAGTTTAGTGTAGTATAAGTGCTCAATAGGAACAACCTTCAGTTTATGTGTCTAAATGAAAGATGGTGCCAACTTTAAGTGTCTCCGGATAAGCCTTAGTTTAATTAATGGGAAGAGGATTTTACTTTTATCAAGTATAGGGAAAAAAAGATAACTAGAGTTTCCGTGTTTTATCTAAAACTGGTAACTGTCCAAGGTTGAAATTGACTACCTACAAAGATGAAAGCTCATTATGTGATTTTTTTTTTTTTTAGGTAAGAGGGGAAACACGTAATCCCTACAATCTCTGTTCTTTGGGTGAACACTCTATTATTGGGTAAACTTTTCCCGGTGTAATAGCCTATAAACCGCACAGGGGATGTAAACCGTACTAGGTAAGTCCTGTACGACAGGCTCTACCCATAAGGCATTGAGGGGGGATTCGATCCCTGGCCATCCGTATGGATCACAACCCTCCAAACCAACTGAGAAACCACCTAAGGGTCATTATGTGATTTTTAAGGGTAAATACATTGTAATTTTTCTGGTCTTAACAGATCACGTATGCTTCTTCTAAAGTTGCCAGTATACTTAAGCTCTTATTTCGAGTTTTATATTTAAAAAAATATATCGTAATCCGCAAATAAACAGATTACCCCTTTTGCATTAATAACTTTACTCTTTTGTTTTAAGAAAAAAAATATGTTATCTCAGTTAGCTCATGCATTTAGCACTGCCATTCTATATATTCACGTTTTTAACTACGTAATATTTTTAGATTTCCAAGTTCCAAGGATGAAGAAGAATGAAAACAAAAAAGGAATTTTGGTAAAACAATGAAAGACGACGTTTTTTTCTAGACAGCAATGAAGGAAGTGGGAAGAAGTTAAGGAAAAACCGAAAAAGGAAGGACGTAACAGGATCAAATATTTTACTTGTAGTATCAATGTTAAGAGTTGTAATAGTTAAGTTAAAAGTCTATTCACAGTCAGTGCTTACATAAAATCAAATAAATACGCAATATGTTTCTTTTTAATACATTAATTTGTTCTAAATTAATAAAAAAAAAAAAAATATATATATATATATATATATATATATATTATATATATATATATTATACCTCAATTAGTTTTTCTTATTATGTTATTAATATAGACACTAGGTGTATGAACAAACTTTCTCCGGTTGCTAGGTATCATCTATTGATAAAAGACAAAGTTTAGTAGAGAATGCACCGGCTATTTTTTAAATACTTCCTCCGATCCAAAATAAGTGATTTTTTGGATGTTTTCACACAGATTAAGAAATTCACCTTTTAGCATTAATTAGCAGAGGAATTGACCATACTAACCTTTACTATCTCACATAAACACTCCTGACACATATTCAAACACTATTTACTCCAAGGACAATGTAAAAAAGTAATTAATTTATTCTTGAAATCTGGAAAAATCACTTATTTTGGACCACAAGAAAAAGACCAAAAAATCACTTATTTTGGACCGGAGGGAGTATGTTTTATTACTTTTCCATTTTCTTGTTTTTTCTTTGAACGTTTATTTTTTTTATATATAGAATTATATTTTTAGTAAACTCAGTAATAGAATATATTAAATGCATACATATATTGCTGATAAAAGGAATATACGTTTGTTTCACACGTGTAGCGGAAAAAATGTCCCCCGTCTCCCAGCTTGTATGTTTTGCTATACGAAAAAATAAACAAGTTTTACTTTTATTAGTACTACTTTTTTAAATATCTTTAATTTTAGGAAGTTGTAACTTATAGTGCATGTTATCCAGTTTATAATTATGCATGCAAAGCTTATTTTAAAAAGATAAAAGAAATGATACCATAATTGAGATCGAAAATTAGGAGGCTTGACCTTCGACTTCCGAATTTTTTCGTGCTTTCAGAAACAGTAGTTGATACATAACATAAGTTTGTTCACATCATATGTAAGCCTCAACGTAAAATTTAATCTTGCTACAAATACAAAAAAATATATGACTATCTTTTAAAGAGCTTTTAGCAATCCGTAGCTATATTTTATGTATTTACGTTTCGTAACAATAAGATTGGTCAAGGTGGTTTTGCATCCGTTTACTATGCAGAGTTAAGAGGCGAGGTTCGTTGTTATTCGTGTCAGATAAAGATGCTTAGCAATTATTGTTGGTAATCTGTGTCCGAAATCAGAAAAGCAGAGAAACATTAGTTTAATAAACAAAACAGAAAAAATAATTTCGAGCCCACAAGTTGCTTGTGTGTCCTTAAGGAATTTAATTCCCTCACTGTTGCCTAAGGTTTTGGATTAATTCCTCCCAGGATAGAACGGAATAACTATTCTGCAATACTGGCAATCGAAACTACAGAATTTCAGCGAACTCAACAGACGGAGCAAATCACACTTGACACTTATGTTTACTTGAAAATAATGCAAATAGAAAAGATGGGAGAAATTTTCAGATTTTTCCATGTCTCAAAAATGAGGCCAAGCCTCTAAATTTATAGACAAAGGAAGGGTGAGATGGAGAGGTGCAATCCAAAAGGTGCCTCTTCCATTTCCCATTCACACCCTTTAAAGAAAAAACGCAACTGTGACGACCCAAAGGGTCATCACCTGTTTTCTTACTCATTCCGTGCTTTCGAGGCCTTGAAAACCTCATTTGTAGTCGTCTCGATTTGCGTGCGCAGTCCGGGCGCGTAGTCGGAAAGCTTAAATATGAAATTCTGTGATAAATGCTAAATTTTGATATTAAAATGAATAAATTTGACTTCGGTCAATATTTTGGGTAAATGGACCCGGAATCATGATTTGACGGTTCCGGAGGGTCCGTAGAAAAATATGGGACTTGGGCGTATGCCCGGAATCGAATTCCGAGGTCCCACGCCCGAGAAATGAATTTTTGAGTAAAATTGTTTTTCTAAAATTTATGAAGAAAATTGAAATGAAAATTGGTTAGAACGTGTTGGTATCGGGCCCGTATTTTGGTTCCGGCGCCCGGTACAGGTCTTATACGTGATTTAAGATATTTCTGTAAAGTTTGGTTGAAATCGGACGCCGTTTGACGTGTTTCAGACTATAAGTTCTAAATTTGAAAGTTAATGAAGTTTGAGGAAAAAACTTGTGATTTTGAGGTTTAGTTCGTTGTATATGATGTTATTTTGGCGATTTGATCGCACAGATAAGTTCGTAGGATGTTGTTGAGTTAGTTCATGTGATTGGTTAGGTGCCCCGAGGGCTCGGGTGTGATTCGGATGTGTTTCGGGATGGTTTTAGCCTCAAAAATGTTGCAGAAATAGCTGTTGTTGGTTGCCAAGTTATTCCTTCTATGCGATCGCATAAGCGGTGTCGCGATCGCATAGAGCAAACTTCAGGGGTTCACAAATCTTTCTATGCGATCGCATTCTCCTCTCCGCGATCGCGCTGTATAAATTCAGCTTTCATTATTTTCCTTCTATGCGATTGCATGTTATTGTCCGCGATCGTAGTGCTCAGAAACTCTACTCTATACGATCGCAACCCTATGTACGCGATCGCAGTGCACAGCAGGCCTTACCCTATGCGATCGCGATCTCCTTCCCGCGATCGCGATGAATAATTTTGCCCAGTCATATATTTAATTTCCAGAACAGTAGCTACGGAATAGTTCATAAGTTTTCACGAGCTCCTTCTTCTCCAAGGTCCTTAGGCGTCCATTGAAGCTTCCTTTCATCAAAACTTCGTGGGTTAGTGAATCTTAACTCGTTTCCTTCATTTTCCATCAATATCTATTGAATTCCTAAGCCTAAAACATGTAATTTAGGGTAGAAATTGGGGGAAGTGGGTAGAGTTAGGGCTTTTTGATTTTTCTTGATTTAGACCTCGTTTTGGGGTCAAATTTAAAAAACAAATTATATATTCGGGCTCGTGGGTGAATGGGTAATTTGATTTTGGTCCGAACCTCGTGTTTGACCAAGCGGGCCTGGGGTCGATTTTTGGGATTTTGGGAAGAAAGCTTGGAAATATATAATTAGGCATTGGGTTTGATTTGTTTAGCATATATTGATACTATGAAGTCATTATTGTATAGATTTGATTGGGTTTGATTTTTCTTGATTTAGCAAGTAATGCTGATTGGACGTATATAAGGTTCATGAATTGGAATGGACTGAAAATGCCTGAATCTTGAGCTTATTGACCATGTGGGGTTGGACTTTGCTGTCTTTTTCCAAAGTGTCTTGCTAGGGTATGTCTTTCTAATTAGTAATACCACTTTTGGAGTCATAAATCAATTTGTCTTGTGTTATCATATATGTGCCATTGCTTAATAACCACACTATTGATCAAGATAAAAACCAAACCATATACTGATAGTTACTGCCAAGGCTGGTGGTAGTACACCAAGAACATCACCTAGCACACCAGTGTCTTAAACTAATATCTTTTTCATCTTCTTAAAAGAAAGGATGAGGAGGATTATCTTATAAAAGTTTTAATTTCATGAAATTTACCTCGAAAATCTTCTCTCCACTTGAGCTTTGTCCATCAAAAAACTGTGGATCATGTTAAAAACAAAGCCAAAAAAATATTCATCTTATGAGTGTAAAAGTATTTATAGTTCAAATTTAGTATTCATAGGTTTGTAAGTAAAAATGTTTACTGTGATAGTGTCGTCGAATTTGTCGTATTCCTCCAGAAGTTCATCATCATCAATAATCTTAAAATCATTGTAGATTTCGACCTGTGACTCAATATTCTCTTTCTTAACAATAACCTTGAACATGAATTTTTTATAAACAATATCGTCCAGTTCAGTTGGATAAGAACAATCAGCATCCGCAATTGAGGTCTACACCAAATTTCAGAGGTTAGAAATATTATAATTGACAACTAAATTAAGTTTAGTATTATACCTCAACTAATCCTTCCTTAAGTTCTTTTGCGGACTTCCCTATAAGCTGCATAGCATCGCGATTCCAAAGCAATAATAAGATAAAAACGGTTCCATCCATAACACGAACTTGAAGCCTATACCTGCAACTCAATTTTGATTAACTTTATGCATATTTTTTATAAAAATTTATATATATTAGTAATTACCTGTGAGTAATAGAAGATGCTTCTTCATTGCATTTCTTACAAAAGTATGTAGTACCAACTTTGTCAACCTTTCTAGTACACTTGTTGCATGCCAAGTATGACCATCCCCGGTCAAGTTCCAAATTCACCAATTTTGCCGTAATCCAATAGCTACATTCCTATTTAACATAAAGAAAATATTATTGTAAATGCAAAACATAACGTACATATAATATTATAGTAAATTAAAATCATTTGCGTGCACTGAACTAAATAATAATTTTAAACAATACAAAACCTTAGTCATTGTAAATGCAAAACAGAAAACATAAGGTAAATAAAATCGTAACACTAAATTAAACTCACCTCCGTACACTGAACTAAATCCCTAATAGTTTTAAACAGTACAATTCCTTTGTCTAACTCATCTCTAACAGAGTAACTTTGCTGTGAACTTGTTTGGGTGATCCGCTCAAAGTTTGATTGACGTACTGCCAGGAATCTGCATAAGTCGAAAATTAAGGAAGATAATGAATATATAAGAAATGCAAACTTTTGTTCTGTAGGTTTATGAACTTTTGTCATGTAGGTTTATAATATACAAATTTATGAACATTTGCCGTGCATATATAAATTATTATTTACCTACTAATTTGTTTTGTCAATACTATTTTTATATTTTTTGCACATATAGAAAAGGATTATACACTTGACAAACCTGGATTTAAACTCAGTAGATTGCGGTAGCGTAGGATTAATCCATATCTTTGTCTGATACCAACAACTACGCACTGAGTAATTACATGTGTATTAGATTTACTATAATTATAAATCTGAAATTATATAATATTTATAAACTAAAATTGAAAAAAACATGTAATTAATGGTAAACCTCGATCTGGGATTACCCACATTCGAACGACTCTAACTTTGAGATTCCATTGCATCGAGTTGCCTGAAATTTGGTTGATATCATGAAATTGTGTAGCCATAGTTGCAAAGCAATTTCAGACGGAGTAGATAAAATAGAGAGTTGAAAAGGATTCAAAAAGATAAAGCGCATAAATATCAGTTATGGAAAATAAAATACTACTAAAAGGAACCAAATCCTAATGCTCTGAATTTATTCAAAGACTATTTAAAAAATAATAGTGAAGAAGGATAGAATCAAAACCTTAGCAAAAGAGTTCCAGTAATACAAGAAAGAGAGCCAGTACAATTCCAATCCAATATCGAAACTCACGCCGGACAAAATAGTAGCGCGTCGAACCCGAAGCCACGAACGGAAACTCGACCTCCTAATTACACGAGAATCTCTCAAACCTTTATCTAGAAAAACTTCTTTCCTTTTTCTTTTTTACTCTTTCTTTGTTCTCTTCCGTCTCCTTCTTTCTTTTTTTGCTTTTTTCGTTTTTTCCAGTTCTTTGTTCCCTTTTTCTTTTGTCTTTTCACTTTTTGTTTTTTTTGCTTTTTGTCAGATCCTTTTTTCCTTTTTACGTTCTTTTCTTCTTTGTTCAAGATGTCCCTTTTATATTGTGATGTAGTGTGTATGTGTGAAGATTATGGAGGAGAAGAGTGGGAACGTGGGTTTTGAAGTTGGGGGGGGTTAGAAATTGTGGGGTAGAGACGTGAGGGAGTGGGAAGTTTGGGAGGTTTTTTTTTTTTTTTAACTTTATATATATTTCTTTAACTTTTCTTAACCCCTTTTTTTAATTAAATAAAAGAAGATAAAACACACTTACATATATATATATATATATATATATATATATATATATATATATATATATATATATATATATATATATA